TGATACGTAGCTCCGATACGTAGCAATGCAGACAGAAGCATGTACAGTATGAGCCAATCAGTGGCAGTAATGACAGAGCATGCGCTGTTACGCAAAAAACGTGATAGAGTGAAGCCGCGGAAGTTGAAGCGCGAAGTGGCGACGATTCACTGTACTAGCATGGCTGGTCAGTGTTATTAAAAAGAAAAGAAAACTCAGATTAATAAATGGCATGAAAAAAATGTTGCAGTCAGCACCTTTAACCCTTGAATTGATCTCCACATCCATTCAAGGTATTGTATCTAGCCTTAAGAAACTGTCAAGCCCGTTGGGACAACACAAGACTGAAGAGGCTGGAGGTTGGTGAGTCACCAACAGCTCAAATGAGAAAGAAGCCTCCTTGAATCCTAAATCCATCAACTAAGAACTTTTCTTAATGTCTTGGAGGTTGGGTGGGCTCTCTGGGACATTGCATTACTGATCAAGAAATCCACATTGTCTCCTCCCATGCAGTCAGGGCATACCTTTCTACCCCAATGTCTTTGTGCTTGGCCATGAACAAGCACCATTTGCCTGTCAGTTCATCATACTGCAGTGACTTGTGTGTGGCTAAGATGTTGAGAGCTATGCAGGGTCACCAAGGGTGGACAGGTTTACTAACTTTAACTAACAAAGGCTACGAAGAAGGACTTGGAGATTTACTTCTGAAAAACAATGCCGGTGAAGAGTCAATGGATAAGAGGAGAACATTGTCTGATGCCGTACTGGAAAAAGAATCTCTCGGGTCAGCACACACAGAACACAACTGCCTCCTCAATGTAGAGTCCACCTTGATGACATGGACAGATCAAAGACTTTGAGATCTTCATTTGTCCATGTGACACACTCGAAATGAGAAGAAATAGCTGCAGACATCCACTAATAGTCAGAATGTGGAATGTAATATATATAAAACTACGAAAATTGGAAGTGATCAAAAATAAGGTGAAATGCATAAGGACTGATGTCCTAGGCAGAACAAGGCCAAAGACCAACTGTGGGGGAGACCATCGATTGCTCATATGCAAGTCAAAGCTAAAAAATGTTTTTTGAATCACAATAAAAAACATGAAAATTATCCATGAGAGCTCAAATATGACCTTGAATATATCCATTCTAAATATAGAGATCATCTCAAAAACAGATTTGACTCATTGAATACTAATGGCTGAAGACCAGAGAGGGTGTAAGATGGCATGAAGCACATCATACATGGCTTAGGCCTGTCAGTGAAAATACAGAAATGGAATGCTTCTTGTTAGGTTTGTAAGATGATCCCTCACTAAAGCTTCAGGAGGAATTTTATGCCCTTTATTTCTCTTTCACTACTGATTCCAACTCCTCGTGACTCCATAAAAGACTAGAACTAATCCCAGAGGAATCCCCAGGGTGCACCTGTTGACAGAAACCGACTGCCACCTCTTTCTTCCTCAGAGAAGCTGGTGACTCCAACCACTGACCTTGCAGTCAGCAGCCCAGCGCTTTACCCGCTGCAGCACCAGGGCTTATTTCATTTTCCACACACAGAAAGGAGACTCTCAGAGTGATCTTCCCAAAGGTCATGCCTAGTACCTGGCAGAAGAAAGAGAATGCCTGTCTTGTAAACTGCTATTCTTACCCTGCTGTGTCAGAAACACCAGGTGCTGTTCATGATCACTTGTAAATGGAACGCCAACTCCCTCGACCCCGTGTGACAGAGCAGAACTGCCCCGTGGGGTTGTCTGGGCTTCCTCTCGAGGCGAGCAGGCCTGTCTCACAAAGAGCAGCTGGTGGGTTTGAACTGCTCACCTTTCAATTAGCCAACAAGCACTTAACTGTTGTGACCTCGGAGCTCCTGGACAAACATGAAGGACTATTAAAAAATGATTCTCGGGAAGTGACAGTTGACTGTGGTAGATCAAATCGATAGTAGGCTGTCAACCCTTCAGCAGGTCTCCTTAGAAACGATGCATGATGACGTCACCACGCGATGCGTCCTCACGGTGAACTCAAGCCCAGTTTGTCATCCAGCTTGAGGTCACACAGCCGCACACCAGGTGACATGGC